AACCTGTTGGGATTAAATACTTCAGGTTCATCCCAATTGTCAGGCGAGTAGTGAAGATACTGAATTGGAAAAATTACAAGGGATCCTTTAGGAAAAGTAATGCCATTGATTGTACAGGTTTTATTACACTGTCTGCTTGTCCTACAATACATGTACATGTAATATAGAAAATCCTTTTTTTGAAAATAACTTTTAGAGCTTACAAGTATGCAGGTGGATACATGCGCAGTGCCTCCTGAATGACCCAATCAAGATAAGGAATATTCTGTGAAGCATCATACAATGAAGCATCCTAATAAACATTGATAAAATAGGCATTATATTAATATATATTACTAACTTCATTTTCCTGATAATATTTATCAATAGCTTCACATAGCTGTTCTTGTTCATCAGGATTGAGTGACAGTATATATGTTGTGAAGGCAAGAGCACCAGCAATTGTTTCTTGACCAGCAACCATAAAGTCAAGGCAAAGACCTACAATCTGCTGGTCAGTGAGTGCCATCTTCTTTGGACCAGAATTAGTTTTATTCTCATCATCATCAGTTGTAGAAGTATCCATCAATAACTGAAGAAAATCCTTGGACTACAATATACATGTATATACAATGTATAAATTATAATTAAGCCAAAATTATGGACAATGTGAGCTGTTATTTAATGTCTTACCTTTTCATCATCATTCTGTCCTCGTCTTGATTTAATGATTTCTATTAAGGCATCATTTAAGTATTTTAAGTGTCTGCTTAGTGGCAAGAATCTAGCACCAATTTTACTGACAAACGTCAACAGACTTGGAAGCTGAGCTAATGACAATAATAATATCAATGATAATAACATTGAAATAATGATGCTGTATAGCGGAAATTTTGAAGGGAGTTAAATTTGGCAAATTTGGCATTTTGATAGCCATTCGCCAAAATAAAAACAAGTAAAAACAAGATAATAATAATAACAATAATAATATAATAAAAAATAATAACTAGACGAATGTAAAACATTAAAGGGGTGAGCCTACGCAAGCAAGCGATGTACAAACAATAGTCAATAGATATTGACAGATTTAGCAATATTCATGCATGACTGAGGCAGCTACTTGAAGGAGTGTATACTATAGTGTAGTTCTTGATCTACCTTTGTAATCAATTAAAGTTAAAGACAGCTAGAAGCAGTCACTGCACAAATGATATGGCTAGATAGGCAACTGTAGCAATGTAATCCAAGTTAGTTCAGACTGTGACTGACATTTACTAAATCAGAGTCATTCACATGAATAAAGATAGTATATCTGCTTCCTTGCTGCATTTGGACAGTTGAAATTTGAATTTTATATTGCATTGTTAATGCATAGTATCTACTGTATTACGCATAGGGGTGATGTATGTGTGCAAACAAACAAACAAACAGACAGATAGACATACATACATACGTTTATGTGGAGCTCACTCAGGCTCGCCCCAATAATAATAGTAATAATAATACTGTATAGGGCAGGAAATATGTATTGGTGCCATTAGTGGGCAATAATATTGACAATTGGCAGTTTTGTGAAGAAACCACCATTCCCATTCCACACATCAATGGGGCAAGTGGTCAAGGTGCAAGAAAAACCAACTCAATATTTTGTTTCCCACCAATATTTCTCACTATAAGGTAGCCTCATTCTTACAGTGGAATAATGCCTCCCAGGTAAGGATAGATTCACTCAAATTATCAAATAATCCAGCAACTGCCTCTGTCAGTAAACTCCCCTCTCCTTTCAGTAAATTAACTTCAGAACCAAAAGCTACAGCAAGCAGAGTCTCCAAAGTGAACTGGGTATAAAAACTATAATAAATATTATAAATAATCATGAATGTGATATTATAATTGTGTACTGGTGTATATCAAAGCTGTCTCCTTTTGCACACTTCTCTTCCAATATAATGTTTAGAGTGTCACACTTTCTTTCAACCAGAGGCATCATCTGTTAATAATACAATCAGGCTAATAATGATGATATACTTTTTTTAATCTTACCAGTTTCAGTTTTTTGGTCGAGAAAGTTGGTGTCACAATTTGTCGAATGCGTTTCCACTCCTCACCAAAAGCAAATAGCAAGCCAGACCCCATGTTGATATTTTTACGTATTTCAATTCCCAGAGAAGTCTGTCTCTGTATGATAAAAAATTAATTTAATCATGCAATAAAGTACAAAATTTCAGTTTGGTAATGCAAAATTTTGACCATGTGGATCACCCATATTAATTTTTGTAAAATGACTTTTATTTTTCAATAATTGTATACATGTAATGTATGTGTGTAAACATTGTTACTGAAAGTCTGAGACGGTGTCTCAGAATTAGTAATATTCATTATTACATGTACAATGAAGGGAAAATATTGACTAAAATAATATTTTCTATGATTAGTTATTGACTAACCACTAACCATATTATTGTTAAATTTGTCAAATTGTTTAACTGTTATCTCTTTAATGAGGTCGAGATCAGCAACTACAATATGTGGCATTGCCCCAACATAAAATCTAAAAAACACAAACAAACAAATCAATCAAGTGCATCCATAAATTAATAATAGTACATGTACGTAGATCTATGGCTGGTAAATTTGGAGATGAAATTTTAGTAAATTTATAAATTGGGAGTATTAGCCAAAATAAAACCTGCTATTTTAGGCCACATTTTTACACTACGGCCTGTTTTCATTGAAATTGGAGACTTTTAGACACAGAGCCTGAAAGAGCTTTGAGGTAGAGGTCCATACAAGAAGTTAACAGATAGAGACGGACTCGCTATTGATGAATGGCTCCGCTAAAGCTGCTAAAGAACAGATGAATAGCTGAACACTAAACACGTGGTCTTATTGTCATATCAACGCTTAATTGAACTTTTTTATGACCGAGAATAATTGCAGCCACGAATATATCCTGACCTACGGTAATTGATTTTTATACCTTCCTACTTCACTATGTTCCCTAATTATGTTAGGAGCCCTAGTTATGTTAGGAATCTCCTACTTAGCTATTGTTTTTAGGGTTTAGGGATTAGGGTGGCGGTTTTTTTAGAGCATCCCCAGTCATTTTATGAGCTCCCTAGTTATGTTAGGAGTCCCCAAGGTTGGTTTAGGGTTTAGTTTTTTTAATTTTAGAGCATTTCCTAGGTTTTAAAATGAGTAAATCATCCTGCCATAAAAATAGCCACCCACGTAGGCTCATGCAGATTATGCTCACTAATGCTACAATTATTTGATGCAGCATTGCTCATAAAATATCATGATTATTCTGCAAGAATAGTACATTATGCTCTCAATTATGCTTGAAAATCAACCAAAAACATAGCAAAAATTAATTAATAGATGCATAAATGCATGGTCTAAAGGTGCCAACAGAAGTGAAAACTCAAAAAATTTTTGTTGATCTCCTAGGGTATTTTAAAACTTCAAAAAGGCTGCAGCTAAATAACAATTCAGACATCTCAGTGATCTCTCTAACCATTAAGTTCAGGATATTTGCCTTTTATGCTAGTGATTTCCGGATATTTTCCAATTATGCTGGCATAATTCTTGTATTCTTCTACCTAGTTATTATGCTCATTTTTATGCCAGAATAATCTGCGCCTCCCTACACCCATGGAGGGATTACGGGCCCGTAAAAATAGCCACTGCCTAAATTTAACCCTTTTGATTACAACAATTCACTGAAATTTCTTCCCTCTGAAGTTACCATGCAGCTACATGTATACGGTCGGTGGTACATACCCAGACACTTTATTATTGCTCTCAGAAATCAACTTGCTCACAAGGCCGATTCTACCCTATTGGATGACACAATGTCTGTATAAAAATAACCACAACATTAGGGTCACATACCAGTTTCAATACTTGTAATGCATTCCCCATGAAAGGTCTCACTGGAGGATGAGTGATACCAAGTCTCTTGAGAACTCGGTAAGGAGCATAACAAAAACTAACGAGAGGTCAAACAGTAATTAGAGAGATCTGCTAAAGATAGCCTACTTACTAGTACCAACAGTAAACTAGCAGCAAGGATAGGAAAGAAAGAGACACAAACAAGAAGTCCATAATCGAGTCCGTACCGTATAGCTGGTAATTTTCGACTGGTGCTTATTTTCGTCCGTTTCGTTGCTATTAATTCTGAACGGAAGATAGGCGTGACCATGATAAATTATTAATAACATGATGATAACAAGCATGGATGGCCTTGAAAACGGTGTTCACCTTCTAAAGAACCTCTTCAGGCCCTACAGGACCAGGGACCTCTTTCTAATGCCATCAGTCCTACAGATGCTAGTGAAGACATAAGATCAATCATTTTTGTCTAGTCGAAAATAAAACCAACGATTATTTTTTATTCTAAAGTCATTTCTGGTTTCAGTCGAAATTTTCAACCACCGAAAATTACCCGCTATACGGTAATTGAGAGGAAGCGTGGCAGACTGACAGTAATTATTGTTTATTCAATTAAATTAATTTGTGGTCTGTCTGTCCATAGATAGTATCTATGGGCTGTCTGTTTGTTTGTACACGTACGTCACCCCTATTTGGGGCGAGCATGAGCGAGACCCACTCTAATCTGTCTAGGTATTTTGCGTTACGTCTCCAAGTCCAATTTTCATGCTAATTTCATTTAAAGCCTTTCTACACTTGTCCACTTTGGATCCAGAATTGCAACCTACTAAGATAGAATCCTCTGGTTGTGTTCACACTAAGCTACTTTGAAGAATTAAAAGTGAATTAAACTGCATTGGCTTCTACAGGTTATGAATAATTAATTAAGAACAATCCACTTCAATCCACCTCTGGATGTGGATTGACTGATCTAGCTTCAATCCCCATTCAAGACAAGTGTGAACAAGCTAATCCTGCTTTAAGGCCTTTCTACACTTGTCCACTTTTGATCCAGAATTGCAACCTACTAATATAGAATCCTCTTTTGTTGTGTTCATACTAAGCTACTTTGAAGAATTAAAAGTGAATTAAACTGCATTGGCTTCTACAGGTTATGAATATTTAATTGAGATCAATCCACTTCAATCCACCTCTGGATGTGGATTGACTGGATCTAGCTTCAATCCCAATTCAAGACAAGTGTGAACAAGCTAATCCTGCTTTAATCCTGGATTTTGTCTTAATTCTGGATCCAAAGTGGACAAGTGTAGAAAGGCCTTTAATGCTACAATAATTTCATAATGATATTATTCATCATTCAATAAAATAATAGCCGGCTACAAGCTACTAGGAGTGATGAAATAAAGAACTGTAGTGAAGTTAGAGCAGCTCATTTATTTTTTCTGCAGCAACTTCTGCTTTAAGGGAGGAGCTGCTGGCTATGCAATTTGCGACGCTTCATGGTTATAGTATGGGCATAATAAAATGGTGTGGGTATGTTACAAGCAGCATTAATATTTTTATGTCAATAATAGTAAATAATAATTATTGAAGCAGCTGTTGTCTGTGTTCTCTATTTCATTTTTCTCTATAAATAAATAAATAAATAATAAAATAATGTCATAATAAATAAATAAACTAACCCTTCCTTTCTTTGGATTTTCAAATCCTTCTTCAGTCTTAGCCAGTTTGTCCCTTAGCTCACACAAATGATCAGACATAGCACTCAACTGTCCTTCATAACCACTTGATAATGTAGTCATTTGATCCTAACAAATACAAGACAGGTATAATAAGCATGACAATGATATAATTGGTGGAGTGTACTACTGTACATGTAGCCAATCAAAGTTAGAATTGATTACATTGGTTTCCCACAAAGCATGCTAAGTGAGTTAAAAGGCATGCTTCATGAGCTGACAAGCACTACAACGGTACATTTACATGGCTTTGGGGTATAGGCAGTGCAGGCGTAGGCATTGGGGGTCATTGCCTAGGTTGAAAATTAGATCGGAAGCAAAAACAATGCTATTTTAAGCCCATTTAACCCTTTTACCACACCCCTTTCATTAGAAATGCCTAGGTTCAGTTGGACTTCTGCAGCCGTCAAAGCTTTGGGACAACTTAAAATTTATTTAAAAATCAATTTTGATCAAACTTGCTACATAACATAAGAACAATGTATGTAACAGATTCATTATTAAAATGGAGAGTTTTCTTTTACCCATTGTTGGCAAACACAAGCACTTAAATGTAATAGAAGAACAAGCTCAAGCACAATTCCTACATGTAGCTTTAATATAAGTGCTTAAGTACAAGAACAAGCATTCTCTACTGTACATGTACATGCACTTGTTCATTTAATCTACTATTGCATCTAATAAACACTAACTCTGTGAATTGTTTATAATAAATGAAAACAGCAGAGAGCTTTGGAGTGATACCACTAACAGTTCTGCCATTACTGTTCTTCAAGCAAGCAACACACAATCACACAATGTGCTACTAAACTGTTACTACAATTTATTGGACTGTGTAACCACTACATGTACATGTACATCTACTGTATACTTAATTTATCCCACTGAATTAAGACTCCATACTACATGTACGTTCTAAAATTGTAACAATTTTGTTACATCTATTTTTAAAAAATTTTCAAGTTATGGTCATTTTTAAAATGGGCCAATTTTTGAAAAATGCACTTTACTATAGCCCATGCTTTTTTCAGAAACATGGCTCCGAAATAGCCTCAAATTTCTATTGAATTTTCTGATACACATTGATGTCCTTATGATGTGTAGAAAGTTTGAGCTGATTCCGACTTCAATTTTTCAAGCTACGACCATTTAAAGAAATTTATCTAAATCTAAAAAACACCTAAGGCTATAGCCCATGGTTTTTTTCAAAAAATGGCTCCAAAATCACCCCCAATTTTTATTACATTTTTTGATACATATTGATGTCCTTATGCTGTGTAGAAAGCTTGAGCTGATTCCGGCTTAAATTTTTAAAGTTACGACCATTTTAAGAAATTTATCTAAATCTAAAAAATACCCAAGGCTATAGCCCATGGTTTTTTCAGAAAAATAGCTAAAAAATCACTCCCAATTTTTATTACATTTTCTGATACACATTAATGTCCTTATGCTGTGTAGAAAGTTTGAGTTGATTCCGACTTCAATTTTTCAAGTTATGGCCATTTTAAGAAAACGTCAAAATTCTGAAAAATACCCAAGGCTAGCTATAATAGCCCATGGTTTTTTTCAAAAAATGGCTCCGAAATCACCCCCAATTTTTTTATTATATTTTCTGATACATATTGATGTCCTTATGCTGTGTAGAAAGTTTGAGTTGATTCCGACTTTAATTTTTCAAGTTACGGCCATTTTAAGAAAACGTCAAAATTTTGAAAAATACCCAAGGCTATAGCCCATGGTTTTTTTCAAAAAATGGCTCCAAAATCACCCACAATTTTTATTACATTTTCTGATACATATTGATGTCCTTATGCTGTGTAGAAAGTTTGAGCTGATTCCGACTTCAATTTTACAAGTTACGAAAATGTCAAAATTCTGAAAAATACCCAAGGCTATAAGCCCATGGTTTTTTTCAAAAAATGGCTCCGAAATCACCCCCAATTTTTATTACATTTTCTGATACATATTGATGTCCTTATGCTGTGTAGAAAGTTTGAGCTGATTCCGGCTTAAATTTTTAAAGTTACGACCATTTTAAGAAATTTATCTAAATCTAAAATTACCCAAGGCTATAGCCCATGGTTTTTTCAGAAAAATAGCTAAAAAATCACCCCCAATTTTTATTACATTTTCTGATACATATTAATGTCCTCATGCTAATATAATTATAATACTACACCTTACTATTTGATTTATTTTATATAGCTTATTATATAATCTATATGTATTCCACAAAAATAGGTGAAACTTTCTGTTTGCTATCATAAAATAGTTACAATTTTAGTTACTAACTAAATTAGCATAATGCTTACCCAAATACTTTTCCATTCTCATTGATCCATTTGGTTAGAAGATCATTATACCCCTATTATATATAAAACAGAAATGCAGTTCATCAATCGTGCCTAATAATTCTATGTGTCCTAGATACAACCTTGAAGCAACAGAAAAGCAATTTTATGCAAGACAACATAGCAGTTTTGTGGAATGAATTCTTGATCTAATTTTTAAGATCTAAACTGACAAATTTAATGCTGTATACGGCATATATTTCACGGGTATAAAATTTCACGATTTGACTGCATTTTTCTATTTGCGAATAAAAAATTTCGCGATTTTAATGTAATTACCACACCTACTATAGAATTAGTGCGCTATTTTGCGAATTTTAATTTCACAAATTTTTTCCAAAACGCAAAAATCGCGAAAATTAATCCCCACAAAATATATGCCGTATACGGTAAATTATCATGCAGCTAGACATAGGCGGCTGCAGGGTCGGGCATTTAGGGGCAATGCCCGACCAAAAATTCTGACCGGAAGTGTGACATCACCATAATTAATAGTTATTCTATGGTTAATTAATAGTTAATAACAGTTATTGCAATTATAATTTCAATTTTTTATGAAAATCTTATAATTATGAATGCATAAATGGTAGGCTGATAACAAGGTGATGAAGAGAGACTAAATAAAGGAGGAGGTGGTAAGACTTTGGTGCCAATCACAGTGGGCCACCACAGCAACACTAGAAAGCATAATCATTTCATTATTTTGTGCTATTTCAGTGTTCTTTTCTTGTCAGTTGCAATGTCTAAAAGCCTGGACTAGCTTCACTATGTCCTTTGTGAACAAGCCTGCTAAAAAGGAACAACAGTTTACAAAGTGAACCTAGTAAGTACAGTATAGAAGTCAATAATATAGATTATCTCATATTCTTATTTTAGGTCAGTCTCTTGCTGAATCAGTTGATGATCATGAGTCTCAGTCTACTCTTGTGGTTGATACAGCT